CCTTTTAACACATAAGTCTATCCTCATGTCCTGCCAACAGTTTATTTCGATCCCAAACAGGTAAGTGAACTGTATGGTGGAGACATTCATTCTTTCATCTCTGCTCTTGGTGCACTGGTGGGGGGCAGGTTTGGAAAGCACCATTTAAACATATTCTGTTGTGCACAGAACATCTCCAAATCAATTTACTCCCACAATCTCTTATAATAGAAAAAACCTCATAGGAGGGACAGAAAACATGGACATGGGATGATCTCATTTCTTAGAGACTGAACAAAAGGGTGAGGTTATTTTGCCAATGGTGTCCCACAGCTGTAACACTTTCCACAGCCACACCCAAATCTAGGATTGACCCCTGTGTGGAAAATCCATGCTGGAAAAGCTATACTAATCATACACAGATTACAAATGTATTATTTTTAAACTGATCAAGAACAGCTCTAGATTTTTTACCATATCCTATATCTTGAGAACGAGTATAAATATAGCAGACTGTTCGGCACTATTTTCAATCCATCAGGTACAGAGAATCTGCTCCTGAAGTTCTTCAGATGAGGGTCACCTGTGTTTGTACAAAGTTCATTGTGGCTTTAAAACATATCTAAACCCAAAAGCAAAAAAGTAATATATGGCAGTTTAGCAATTCTTAGATGTAATTGCTACATTGGTGTCAATTGGAAATAGTAACTTGTGGGTGACCGATCTGGGAGAGGCAAAATATCAACCACTGGACCTCCACACCACCAGAGACATGTCACAAATGCCTTACTGATTTGCCTCCTTTGAAATGGTCATACCAGCTGGGTTTGAGGGGGGGGTCATTGGAAGTTTGTTGGAGAAAATATTATTTTACTAAAATTTGCCCAGCATGAAAACGCTTTATAAGCTTATAAATAGCAAATTTAAATATTTTTACATTGAAACACCCATGAGCAAGATTTACTAAAACTGGTGGAAGGAAATAAAACTGAATAATCTATGGCCTGCTTAAAGAGGCGTTAACTCCCCCGCCCCCCTAAAAAAAATCAAAAGTCAGCAGCTACAAATACTGTAGCTGTTGACTTTTAATACTAGGGCACTTACATGTCCATGCATCCAGAGTTCTCCTCACTCAAGTCAATTCTTCAATCAGCTATCAGGTGCTGGGCACCATCTTTACTAAGGGAAACCGACAGTGAAGCATTATGGCTTCACAGCCAGTTTCCTACTACACATGCGCTTTGTGAATGGGCTGCAGTCTTCTTTGACCTGTGAAGTGTCCCAGAAAGCTGTGGGGGTAGAAGGGGGGGGCTGAACCTCCAGGTCTGTTCGCCACAGAAAATTGAGTCAGAGGTGGGAGCGGGTACCTATCAAAACCACTGGTAGCATGAGGTGATACCTGGACCCTACAGAGGTTGCACAGGCAGTCCAACTTCTCCATGATGGGACATCAATGTGTGCCATTGCCAGAAGGCTTGCTGTGATTCCCAACACAGTCTCAAGAGCATGGAGGAGAATCCAGGAGACAGGCAGTTATTCTAGGAAAGCTTGACAGGGCCATAGAAGGCCCTTAACCCATCAGCAGTATCGCTTTCTGTTTCTTTGTGGAAGGAGGAACAGGAGGAGCACTGCCAGAGCCCTACAAAATTACCTCCAGCAGGCCACTGGTGTGGATGTCTATGACCAAACAATCATAAACAGACTTTATGAGGTTGGCCTAAGGGCCTGACATCCTCTAGTGGGCTCACTGCCGATCGTCATTTGCCATTGAACACCAGAACTGGCAGGTCCGCCATTGGCGCCCTGTGCTTTTCACAGATCACCCTGAGCACATGTGACAGTCAAAGGGTCTGGAGAAGCCTTGGAGAATGTTATGCTGCCTGTAACATCGTTCAGTATGACCAATTTGGTGGTGGGTCAATGATGGTCTGGGGAAGCATATCCATGGAGGGACGCACAGGCCACTACAGACTAGACAATGGCACCCTGACTGCCATTAGTTATCAGAATGAAATCCTTGGACCATTGTCAGACCCTACGCTGGTGCAGTGGGTCCTGGGTACCTCCTGGTGCACAACAATGCCCGGCCTCATGTGGCGAGAGTATGCAGGTAGTTCCTGGAGGATGAAAGAATTGACCATTGAATGCCCCCCACGCTCGCCTGACCTAAATCCAATAGAACACCTCTGGGATATCATGTTTTGGTTCATCCGATGCCGCCAGGTTGCACCTTAGATTATCCAGGAGCTCAGTGATGCCCTGGTCCAGATCTGGGGGAAATACCCCAGGACACCATCTGTCTTCTCAGGCATGTATACAAGCACATGGGGGCCATACAAACTACTGAGTACCATTTTGAGTTGCTGCAATGAAATTTCAGTAAAATGGATTAGCTTAGTGCATCATTTTTTCACTTTGATTTTTCGGGGTGTCTGAATTCAGTCCTCTGTAGGTTGATCATTTTCATTTCCATCAAATGATAGCAGTATAGATATCCAGCATGATATTTTGACATTGAGATCTGATGTGGTTTCAAAGTGTATATGTGTGTGTGTGTGTGTGTGTGTGTGTATATATATAAATATATATATATATATATATATATACACACACAAGGTTCATCATATAAGGTTCATGGGACTTGTAGTTTGGCAACAGCTGGTGGACGGCCAGTTTGACACCTGTGTTCTATGGAAAGTAGTGGTGGGTACTCATGTTTTGTATCAAATGTTTATGAAGTTTTAAAAGATGTGTAAAGTTTTTCTTCTCAAAGTAACATTTGGATTACCTTTTTCTATTCAACTAAACAAAAGAAAGTGAAAACACTAAGTGGAAACAGCTTTGGGTTCACTAAACCTATCACAAAGTTGGGTGGTTCCAACAAATGATGACATGGTGAAAAAATGTATAAAGCAGATGTTGCCTTCAGCAAATACTGTATGGAAAATCAATCACTAGACCCTGATATATATGAGATGATAAATTAAAATCTTGACTTTTCCTGTAGTAATCCAACTTGGCCCTTCCCCATCAAAACTTCCAAGCCTCCAATTAGATTTGTATATGTTGGATGGCCTATCTGACCAATAAGGAGGCTCAGGAGATGGGAAGGTCAGGGGTCAGGATCGACATTTGTAGGAAAAGTTGAGATTTGCATATACAGTAAATCAGCTGTTTATTTCTCTGGAATGGTACTGATCATTTTAACATTGTAACCTCTGCTTAAAGCCTTACTCCTGCCAAAAATATTTTTGATAGAGTAAAGAAGGGTTAGAACTCCACTCACATTTAAATGACTTCTGTGTTCATGGATAAGATCTCTCTTCACTTCCTGCCTAACACCTGTCACCTAGACAGGAAGTGAGGGGAAATTTCCTTCTTAGGGACACAGAAATAAAATCCTGAAAGAGGCTCAATCTTTGTGTGTTTTTATAATAGTCTGAGATTTTCCCTCACTTCCCGTTCTTTCTGAAAACTATCACATTGACAGCACATTTGGAGATTTCCCTTCACTTCTTGTTCTGTCTGGTATCTTTTAATTAGGCAGGAAGAAGTGAGATTTTTCCATTACTTTCTGTTCTGTCTGACACCCGTACAAGAGGAAGTATGGAGAAATCTCCCAATATGGAGACAGAAATATAAAGATATTAGAGGTTCCAACTTCCATGCACTAAACAAATTTAAAAAATTTGACTAGAGCTGAACCCTAGGATTAACAAATACTGTTTAAATAAAAAAGGCAAGCATCTTCTCCCTTGAATCTTGGTGTGCTTTGTGTATTTCTTCTAGATCTGTGTAGTAATTCATTGTGAAACTTTACCTCTGTGCAGGAGCTTCCTGTAATAAAGACCAGTCACCGGTGCTCTCTCTCCTTGTGCAGGGTGACTGGTCTTCAATCTGACTCCCTTGTAGTGTTTTGCAGGCAGCCTGTAGTGGGAGGACTTGCCGGGTCCAGCCACAGTTTTACAGTCCTTTCACATGGGCATTCCATTTTTTTCATCAGTTCAGTCATGTTTTTTTCAAAGAATAAACAGATCAGTTTACATCCATTTTTCATCCATTTACATCAGTTTTTTCATTCGTTTACATCTGTTTTTCATCAGTTTACATTAGTTTTTTTTATCTGTTTACATGTTTTTCATCCGTTTTCATTTTTCATCTGTTCCGGGTTTTTTGCCGAAGAAAAATAGGGTTTTCTTCCGCTCAAAAAGTTGGATGTTAATGGATACGGACATTAATGGATGTAATCGGATGATCATCGGTTTACATCCGCTAGTCCATAGAAAAACACAGGTGTCTGTTTTTCATCTGTAAACGAGCAGATGAGAAATGGACATACGGAACACCCGTGTGAAAGAGGCCTTACTCTCTACACAGGCTATATGCAGCACAGTGATGATGTCACTGCTACTTTTGCAAGGTAATAGCTGGGTCTGTAAAGACATATGGTGACACAAAAAAGATTTATATATGTTTTTTGCTATTGAAGAATGTTATTAGATGAACTTTTTTGTGCTCAGTTGGGTTTAATTTCAAATATGTTTTCTTCATATGCTCAGTTTGTATTGTCAGTTTTTGACAGGTTTACTTTAACAGAACTGGCTAGGCCCAAAGCTGCCTCTAGTTTTGTTAGTACTTTCACAAGTGCTGGATGGAATTAAAGCAAATCATATTTTTGGGAGAAAGTAAACAATATTCAACTGTGACACATGTAAAAGGAAAAAAAAAATGACTCATACCCTCAAATATTTGTTGGTGTATGTAAGCATGCTGTAACATGATAATTATCAGGCTAATGACAGTTGTCTACATATCTATAGGGCAGTGGGTTTAAGAGCAGGTAAACTTTGGAACCATTTAACTTAAGAATAGAAGTGAATCATATTCTACAAGACAACAATTTTTTGAAGAAAGAAAAGCACCTTTTCCTAAATTATTTAACTAATTGTAGATATCTGCTTAACAATGTGAAATAATGATGCAAAAATATTTTTTTGTATGTGTTTGTTGTACCCCTGATTGTTTCATGTTGTTTCATTGCAGCATATTTTGCCAATCTGGTAGGAAAAAGTAGAATAAAACACAAGGTGATACCTCCTGCTGTCAATGGACCTCCGGAGTTCGAGAGAACCTTCAGAGCACAGTATGTGAATATATTATACTCAGATACCATAGTCTATGCCAATGTTTCTCAAACTTTTGTCAGTCAAGGCACCCTTTACATTTCTGCACAATCTCAAGGCACCCCATTCTAAAATGTAAAAATCTAAACTAATAGTTTTATATAATGCAGCAACATCCACACATGTAGGACACCAAACGTTATTTGCTTTTTCCCGTTCTCCTCCTCTCCTCCTACCTATCCCAACGCTCCTTCAGCGTCACCTACAACACTGCCACCTCCCCCCTCCCTCCCCCTCTCTGTCGGGGTCCCCCAAGGCTCTGTCCTCTGTCCCCTCCTCTTCTCCATCTATACCTCCTCCCTTGGCAAACGTATTCACTCCCACGGCTTTAATTACCACCTCTACGCCAACGACAACCAAATCTACCTCTTCACCCCCCACCTCACCCCCTCACTCTCTGCTTGCATCGCCCACCTCCTAAACTACATATCAGACTGGATGTCGCTCCATTTCCTCAAACTTAACCTATCCAAAACCAAGCTCCTGGTCTTCCCCCCACCCCGTACCCCCCCCATCCTCTCCATCACTACTAACAACGCCACCATCTCTCCCACCCCACACGCCAAAGTCCTGGGTGTCACCCTGGACTCCCACCTCTCCTTCCTACCACACATCCAACTGCTATCTAGATCTTGCAGGCTCCACCTCCGCAACATCTCCAAGATACTCACATTCCACACCCCAGACACCACCAAACAACTCGTACACTCCCTCATCATCTCACACCTGGACTATTGCAATTCCCTTCTCACTGGCCTACCCAAATGAATGCTATCCCCACTCCAGTCGATCCTAAACTCCGCGGCTAGACTCATCCACCTCACCAACCGCTCCACATCCGCCTCCCCCCTCTGCCAATCCCTTCACTGGCTCCCGGTTGCCCAACGCATCAAATTCAAACGCCTAACTCTGACCTACAAAGCCATTCACAATGCCGCCCCAAACTACCTAACTGACCTGATACCCAAATACTACCCTACCCGTGCCCTCCGCTCCTCACAGGACCTCCTACTCTCTAGCTCCCTGGTCTCCTCCTCCCATGCCCTGATTGCAGGACTTCTCCAGGACTTCCCCCATCCTCTGGAACTCCCTACCCCAATCCATCAGACTGTCACCTACCCTCCTCACCTTCAGGCGCACCCTGAAAACCCTCCTCTTCAGGGAAGCCTACCCCAACCTCACCTAACACCCGACCTCACCTAACAACTAACCTCCTCCACTCCACCCACCACTCCATCCCCCACAGCCATCTCCTCCTGTACCACCTTCCCCTCCCTCCTAGATTGTAAGCTCGAAAGAGCAGGGCCCTCGAACCCTTGTGTATTGTATTGTTACTGTATTGTCTCATGTTCTGTCCCCCTTGCTACTGTACAGCGCTGAGTATACCCTTTGGCGCTATATAAATACTGTATAATAATAATAATAATAATTTATTTTTCCAAAGCAAATACACCTTTGCACACTGGTTAATGACTAGTACTGCAATGTTTCCCTCCCTAAGGTTCCATTCACACTTGTGCGACTTCAAAATTGTGCAATTTTCATCATGATTTTACAGTGCAACTTTGGCATGACTTTGATGTGACTTTTGATGAGTGCGACTTTGGCTTTGACCAAGGATGATTGTTTCAGACGCATGTATATCATTCAGGTGCGACTTTGGAGGGTTTACATTGAAGTCTATGGCCCTCAAGTAGCATGAAAGTTGGACCAAAGTAGTGCAGGAACCACTTTCAATTCGCTGCGAATTGAAGTCGCACAGATAAGAATGGTACTCATTGGAAAACATGGGGTGCAACTTGTCATGCTACTTCAGACCCCAAAGTCACATGACAAGTCTTACACATGTGAATGGACCTTACTCAGCCAATGTGACCCTGGTGCTAACAAGGATGGGCAGGGGCAAACAAGCATGCTGTGCAGGCACCCAACATCCTCCTTATCAGTCATTGGTTGTTAGGACACCAGTGGCTGGGAGGCTGTAATAGTGCACAATGAAAACCTGGGACTTTGTATAACTAAAAGACAGGTTTGATCCGCTTTGCTGTCTTGCATACAATTTGTGGCCAATTTTTAAGCATTTTCCCAAGGCACCCCTGAAGAAACCTGAAGGCATCCCAGGGTGCCTGAGCACCCTTGTTGAAAAAGGATGATCTATGCTTACTACCAAAGCAGATTAGTGAAGGTGTGAAAAATGCCTTGTCTCTGGTGTGCCTGGTTCTCACCACTGCATTGCAGTGGTGTGCGGGCAGTGTGCGCTGAAAAAGTGCTGCATGCAGTATCTTTTTCCCAGTGCAGCTCAGTGGGAGACATTCCACTGCCTTGCACCACATGACCAGCAAATGAACTTAATGAAATTTTTCTGTGACATTTCAACAATTAAAAAAAAGAAAAAAGAAAAAAGATGAACAGTGCAGTGTGCCGATCCCTCAGTCCCACCGCACTGCACACCGCTCACTGCATTGCAATGCCATGGCTGTTGTGAACTAGCCCTAACACTTTATTAATTTATATTTTAGGTGGGAATGTTAGGGGCCAAAACATTTGGCCAAAGAAAATTGAAAATGACAATATACAGTTTTTAAAAATGGTTTAAAAGCAAACTAGTAGAACAGGGTGTAGAAAGGAGTCACAGTAAGCACGAGGAAGGACAGCAGTCTGTTAAAAATTGATAGGAGAAGATGGAAAGAGGGGATGCCTTAATTACCAGGTTTTAATGGATATTTCCAATTAAGTGGAGGATAGAGAATCAATTGGAGGGTCTTTAATTAGCAATCTAGTTTGATATCACTGGGTATATTGGAAACATTTCATTATAGACTGTTGTATACCAACTGGAAAGGTTTGGACAAAGGATTTCCAAACGTCAAACAATGTTTTGACCCATGATTCCTTGCTTAAGGCGGTATCCACCCAGTCCATGTGAAAAACATAAGATAGTTTAGCTATAAACAAAGAAATAGTGGGGGATTTCAGATAGATACACTTATGGAGGATGGTTTTCTGTGCTCCAAGTTATATAATAGTGAGTTGTTTGCAGCCTCTTGAGATCATAGTACTTGGAATATCAGTTAGGCCAAAAAGTTCCCATTCAGGGGTTAGAGTTAGGTAAGTTTACTAAATGTGTGCTGGTGCAATACACCACTGAGTGCCATAAATGTTTAACATGACCAGAAGGCATGGAGAAAATCTGAATCTCTGGTTGACCACACTTTGGACAGCAAGATGAGGATCTTTGGTTCATAAGGTGAGAGCGATCTGGAGATATGTAAGAATGGTGGAAGAGCCTAAGCATCATTTTATGTTACATTGTAGCTTTGATCATGCCCTAAGACAAATGCAATATTTTTAGTTTGTCAATAGATAAATTAGATAGGGGGAATTCCTGGTCCATTTGTTTAGACCAGTTGTTGTGGCAGTGTAGTCCAGCAATTGCCGGAAAAAATTATATTGGGTAGACACAACTGTTTTACTTGGGTTAGGATATCCTAAGACCATATCCAAGGAATTCGCCCAATCTCTTTGATTTTTTGATAATGGAGGTAATGCAGAATTTTGCCTTTAGAAGGAGAAACGGATTGTTGGATAAGTAGGGACATTTCTTTAGTGCTACATTAGAAGGAAATTATTGCTGGTTACCAAAGGCAGGATGACAAGAGGACTCCATGAGGTCTGAGCTGTTACATAAGGGAAGAAAGAGAGATGCGTTGCTATTTAGCATGCAGTATGTGCGTATTTTATACATCGAGGTGCCGTGAATCCGATCCCTCATATATCTAGTTAAAGATGCTAGGTTACCCAGTTATAGATCGGGAAAATTGAGGCCTCCATTACTGTAGGGTTGTTGTAGAATACATAGATCTGTGGTTGCTCTCCCACTGCCCCAGGTGAACTCCTGGAACATTTTATAGATACACTTGAGATTAGAATGTTTGAGGTGTAGGGGGAGAACTTAAATGATGTAAAAAAGCTTAGGAAAGGGTACCATTTTTTTTTAAATTTATTCTGCCCATGTAAGAAATGGTAAACTGTTTCCAAGCAGCAAGCAACGTATTTATGGAACGTATCAAAGAAGGAATGTGACCCTTTTATAAGTTGTGGGGGTTTTGGAGTATTGATATTCTGAGATACCAAATAAAGGGATAATGTTCACTCCAATGAGGTTTGTGACGATTGATTAGGCAGAGTGTTAGATTTTTCAAGGTTGCTGGAATAGCCTGAGACTAAACCGAAGGATGTAATAAGGGACAATATGCTAGGCAGGGAAGCTGCTGGGTGAGAAATATGTAGCACCCTTAAGTGTGCTACTAGAATAGTGTAGGCAAATTTATTGTGTATGAGTCATGGTAACTGTGTGAGTCTGTGATTAAGGTCAGGTTTCTGCAGGTCAAGCTGGATGACTTAACAGGTTGGGACTCTATTGCCGCCACCTGGCTCTTGAGGACCATAGAATCTTCCAGAAGCTAGTTGGCTAAAGACTTGGAGACCTAATCTGCATGTTTGTGGGAGTTTACCATTTCCAGGTTTGGAGGCCCTGGTAGAGTGGTAGACCAACCCATAAATATGGGAGAGTCAGGCTGGCACCAGAGTCGGGTGGAAGATGGAGTGCTGAGGAGACTGTTGGTGGACTGGAAAAAGGCTGGCTCAGGAGGGTCCATTCAGCAGTACGGTATGAACAGGATCAAGGTCTGGAGCGGTGGCAGCAAGGAGGACAGAGTGAGTACATCAGCACACCCAGGGATTTACAGGGGGAGAGACTTACATATGTAGCAAGCTTTTCAAAGGCCAGCGCTGTGCTTAATCCTTTATCCTTGTCCTGGGAGATCTTCAGAACAGCCAGATCAGATCTCAATGGGGAAAAACATCATGCTGGATATCTGTATTGATATAGACTGGGTAATGTGTTAGGAACATAAAGATGCCCTATCGTTTGATGGAAACTAAAATTATCAACCTACAG